AGCTGCGATCTTGGGCTTGGTGCTCCTCATGAGCTCGCCGTGGGCCTCCAAGATCTTGGGAACACTCAGCTTTGGGATCACGATCCCATGGTGGGCTTGATCATCATCTCCTTCTAGCGGCGGAAACATCGCTCGCAGTGACTTGTGGAGGCAGCGCACGGCCTCGAGCCTGGAATCCGACTGAACGGCGTCTCCCAACGCGAGCGCCCCATTGCAAAAGATGGCATCCCGGGTCTCGGCGTAGGTGTCGAATCCTTCTTGCTCGATCTTGTTTACCTGGAAAAGATACTGCGCCAATGCTTCCTTTGCGTGAATCTCCATCGCCCAGCGCTGCTGCTTGTCCGGGAGGCGCTTGAATCTATCCACAAACGCGTGGATTCTTACCACTTGATCGCTTGTGCTCGCCCTCCAGAAAGGAACCTGGGATGCCGCGTACTTCCACATAGATATTGAAGAACCCTAAAATTCCACGTCAGCTCTTTAATCCTAGAACCAGGATCTTTTGAGTGCTCAAAGTCGCTTTAAAGTAAACGCCCTGTTAAAAGTGCGGTCGCCATACCTTTATCTCCAGCTCACGCATTTCACGCACTCTGGGAAGAAGCACACACACCATAGCTTGCGCTCGGTTGGATCGTTTGTAAGTACAAGCATGATCGTGCTCTCTCGTTCGTTGATTCTGGCACTCCTTGTGATGATCCCACTGCCACTGTCGAGAGCTTTTTATCATGATCATCATGCTGCCTGTGCTCTAGCTGCAAATCCAGAGATTTGCATTGCCAGCATGGAAGCACTGGATTTGGATCCCGGCAACGCTGGAAGCTTTGCACTAGCGGCGGTAGGATCCGCTCGTGACTCCCTGGAGGCGCTGCTTGCATCCACAGCAGAGCTCGATCATGGCGCCGTCTCGTCGAGCAAGCCATCCAGATCCATGAGGAAAAGGGCAGTGATGCGCGACTGCGTGGAACTCCTCCATGACGCGTCCCGCCTCGCTGCCGATTCACAAGTGGCCATTGGAAGAATGAAAGCGAGCGATCTGGTGAATGCTCACACCTGGATGAGTGCTGCTCTCACTTACCATACCACTTGCCTGGATGGATTGATCGAGGCTGGCTTTGACGAACACAAACTGCTAAACAAAGCCCGAGAATCACTCAGCACTTGCCTGGCAGCCATAGCATCCTTGCGAAAAAATCAAGAACAGGAGCCACAGATCATCAAAACCCCGCATTGGGTCTCCAAGTCGGTGGGAAATTACACCATTCTTCCCAACATCACGGTGGCCAAGGACGGGAGTGGCCAGTTCGAGAACATCACTGCGGCTCTTGCCGCTGCTCCCACGAAGAGCAGCTCCAGGTTTGTGATTTACATAAAGCAGGGAACATACTTGGAGACTTTCGAGGTGCCGAGGAATCTCCTGAACTTGATGTTCTTGGGAGATGGGATTGGCAAGACCATTATCACTGGAAACAAAAGTGTCCAGGATCCAAACATCACAACTTTTACGTCCGCAACAGTGGGTAAGTGATCACAAACGTAACTTTACAAACCTCGCTAATCGATTGATCGATCTTTCAGCTATTAGAGCGAACAATTTCATCGCTCAAGACATCACATTCCAAAACACGGCCGGAGCCATAAACCATCAAGCGGTGGCGGTGCGAGTGACCGCAGACAAGGTGGCATTCTTCCGATGCTCGTTCGAGGGCTTCCAGGACACCCTCTACGCTCACTCGCTCCGCCAGTTCTACACCCAGTGCGAGATCTACGGCACCGTCGACTACATCTTTGGCAACGCAGCCGCGATCTTCCAAAACTGCAATCTCTACGCTCGCCTCCCGATGCCCAAGCAGAAGAACACCTACACGGCGCAGGGAAGAACAGACCCAAATCAGAACACCGGCTTCTCCTTCCAGAACTGCGCCGTGGATGGAACGCCGGAGCTCAAGGCAAACATCACCCAGTTCCCGACGTTCCTGGGGAGGCCATGGAAGGAGTACGCGGTCACGGTGTTTCTCAAATGCTACGAGAGCGCGGTGGTGGATCCGGCAGGATGGCTCGAGTGGAGCGGCGATTTTGCGCTCCAGACGCTCTTCTATGGCGAGTACTTCTGCTATGGGCCAGGCGGCTCGACCGTCAAGCGCGTTGACTGGTCAACTCAGATATTTGACTCTAGCTTTGCGAGCAAGTACACGGCAATGAGCCTGGTCAACGGGGACGAGTGGCTCCCAACGACGAATCTCCCATACACACTGGTGCTATGATCATAGGAAAAGAAAAAGTGGTATCATCAACCTTGACTTATTCAGCTATAGCTACATTGTGCCTATTCCACCTTTTGTGAGGTGGAATATCACTCAAAATACTTTAGCGTTGTATGATGTGTGGGTCAGCTCACTGTTCTTGGCCCTCCAACCGAGGTGGGAACCCCCACGGCTTGCATATGTTTGAGCGTCGCGGCCAGCCAGTCCAATCCTTCGTACAGACCCTCGCCTTTGATCGCGCAAGCTGCTTGGACGTGCCACCGCCGGTCTCGCATCTTTCCCAGCCCCAGCACCGCGCAGATCTCCGTGGGAGACATGGCGCCCTTCTGCAAAAACGAAGAGACGAGCGAAAACTTCACTCTCCCGGAGAGAAACGAAAATCGAAGAGAGTTACCATGTCTTGCTTGTTTGCGAACACCAGGATGGCGCTGTTTCTCATCAGTGGATCGTTCACAATCGCCTGGAGAAAGAAGTGACGCGAAGGATGTGATGAGCTCCCGGAGAGCTTAAGTAGAACTTGTTTGAAACCACTTACTTGGAATTCCAAGGCGGCTTTGTCGATTCGGTCCTTGTCGAACGAGTCCACGACATAGATCTGGAGCACGTCTTGTAGATCACAATCGAAAACAAAGAAGGAAATCTAAAACAGTACCAGAGCATCGGTGCTGCTAAAGTAGTGCTTCCAGAGCGGTCTTAGCTTCTCCTGGCCACCCACATCCCACACCGTGAACACCACATTCTTGTACTGGACCTTCTCCACGTTAAATCCTAGCAAGGATTCACATCAGTCGAGCAAGAAGGCCAAGATGAAAGCCAAGAAACCAGAAAAAAAGGATTACCAATTGTTGGAACCGTGGAGAGGATTTCCCCTATGTGTAACTTGAACAGGATCGTTGTCTTGCCGGCGGCATCCAACCCCAGCATCACTACCTGCAAGAGCCTGCCCGTAAGGATCAGTCCATAGAAGACCGAGAAGCGCGCAATCAAAAGCCACAGCCATTACCCTCATCTCCTTGTTCCCAAACAAGCTATCGAACAGCTTCCGGAACGTCTGCCCCATAATCCTCTCGCTCTCTCTAGCTCCCCGATCGATCGCGCTGATTTCACCCAAGCGCCCTCATCGTCGAAGGTACCAAAGCCCTAGGAAACCCTAATCTTGGAAGAACCCTAAAAACTTTGTCTCACGGGCTTCTCTAGAATCGCCGAGAGATAGACCTCGCGATTGGCCCGATCGAGCTTCTTTCCGACCGCCCACTTGATCCTCCGGAACCCCAGCCTCTCGATCAGCGGCACATAGAGGGTGTCCAGTTGATCCTCGGTGCAAAAGAAGTGATCCAGCCAGAAGAATCCACCCGGTCGCAGCACGCGATCGATGTCGTAGAGCACGAATTCCAGCGATTCCAGCGGGATCCAGTTGCTAAGAACATGCATGGTGTGGACGAGATCTAGGGTGTTGTCGAAGAAGGGCAGGCGCTGCGAGATCGTGGCGAAGATCGGGACTAGCCCACGCGCCGCGATGAATTCGTTGAAGGGCCCGTTGAGATTGAGCGTGGTGGTGATGATCGTCACTCCCCGCTCCAGCATTCTCGCCGCAAAGCTCCCAGTCCCTCCGCCCAGATCCAGCCCAATTCGAATGCCACCCTTGGCCAGCGAAAAGATCTCGTCCAGCTCCTTGGAGCTCACCCATCGCGATCGCTCCGGGCCGGAGAGATCGAAGCAATCAGCGCAATCATAGAAGACGGTCTTGTTCTTGGCCCTGTTCTTGAGGCAATCGAAGCTCTTGCACGAGTAGTGGCTCCACAGCACAGATTTGTCGCTGGGGATCTCCCACAGCGATCCCGGGAGGGAGTGTGGCGGGGAGATCGCTGCTGGGGTCCTGGCGAAGCATCGCCGGCGAGGAAGAGGCTCGCAGCCGCGGAGCATGAGCGATTGGCCGATCCACCAGTCGTCTGGGCAGATCTCCCCTGGCGTGTAGCCCATGAATCGATCGAGGAGCTCCCTCTGCGCGTAGCACTGGTGCCCAATTGGAGAGGTCATCGTCTCCAGGCCATAGTTTGGATTCCTGCCCAGCGGGAGCTTCCTTTCTGCCGTGAACTCCACGAGCTCCTTGCTCATCGCGAAATCCCCTTTGTGTTCTTCGTGTTCTTCGCGAGGGTTTCGCGCGCCATGCCTGCGAATTTCATCCCTGAGCGTCGCCAGCTCCCGGAGAATCGATTCGTCCCCCGCGGCGTGCTGCAAGCTCCGCTGGACGTCGCGCGAGATCGAGAGGCTGTAGAGCGCGAGAATGTTGGTGACAACGATCGTCGCCAGCAAGAATAGAACTCCGCAACTCCCTCCTCCTCCTCCATTTCCTCCATTCCCAAATCCCAGCGCTGCCACTAGCGATCTCGTGAAATCCCTGGGTTTGTCTTCCCCTCCCATTTCTTGGGCAGCGAGCAAATCCCTCACTCCACAATACCAGGATCTCAGTGCGCCATATCTAGGGCTGATGTGGACTTGATCGCAGGGCTGACGTGGACTTGATGTTAGGGCTGACTTGTCACGTCAACGTAGTTTTCTCGTTTCTCCGTTGGACGGCGCTCGGGTTCTTCGCCACGCGTGTGCGCGTTCTCTGCCGGCGCCACGAACGATCCTACCGAGCTTTCCTCTCGGACCGCCCAAGGCTATTTAATCGCTCGCTCCTCCTTGCCCTCGCCCAAATTTGAGATCGATCCATCAAAGCTTTGGGCGGCGCAGTGTCAGTGGCGATGGAATTCGCGGGCAAGGCCATAATCGCGTTGTGGGCGCTGGTGATTTGCGTGATTTTCCCCTCGGCGGCGGCGGCTAGGGGCATTGCGACAACCCAAGCTGCGAGTGGTGAGTGCTGCGATCTAGAAAGGAAGAATCTATGGATTGATCTTGGGTGCTCTTGTGGCAGGGGCTCTTTTGGATCAAATGGTGGCGTATTTGCTCTTGTTTGGCGCCTTGATGGTCACATACCTCACCCATCCTCTCCCCTTTAACATCTTTTGAGGAGATTTCCTCCATTCTTTTGTGAATCCAATCGCATTTTTACTCACCCAAGAACCCTAGAAGAGCAGAAACTTAGTTCTTAGGTCAAATATTTCGAGCCGCGATGGCGATGGCGCACGGCATCGACTACCGCGATAAGCTCATCCTTGCTCCGATGGTGCGCGTGGTAAGACGATCTAGTTTTAGCTGGAGCGGATGAGGATTGAGATGGCCAGGCAGGGAACGCTGCCGTTTCGGATGCTCGCCGCTGGCTATGGCGCCGATCTCACTTACGGCGAGGAGATAGTGGATCACAAGATGCTCAAATGCTCTCGCGTCGTGAACGGTACGTGAGACTTCGTCCATCGATTTCGTGTGTCACGTCCTTGCTCGTGCCAGACGTGCTTGGCTCTATCGATTTTGTGGAGAATGGAACGAACGATGTCGTGTTTAGAACTTGCAAGGCGGAGAGAGATCATGTCGTGTTCCAGATGGGAACTTCGGATCCATATCGAGCTCTCACTGTCGCACAACTCTTGTAAGAATTCCTCTCCATAGTGTTTTCAGCTACTTAGCAAGCTTCATCTCTTTAGGTGCAGGGACATAGCAGCTGTGGATATAAACATGGGATGTCCAAAACCTTTCTCAGTGACTGGAGGAATGGGATCAGCATTGCTCTCTCAACCGGAACTTGTCAGTGAGGTTCGCACGAAACACTCCTTGTTTGAATGATGACATGACCTTCTTCCAGTGTGGTTGTCTTTTGTTAATCTCTCCGTTCAGATTCTAACAACACTGAGACGAAACTTGGACATCCCAGTAACCTGTAAGATTAGACTCTTAAAATCCACCCAGGAGACTGTCGAGTTGGCCAGGAGGATCGAGAAAACCGGAGTTTCGGCCATTGCGGTGCATGGAAGGTGATGCTACGGGATTGAAATGCATGTTTCCTTTAACCGCTAATATGTGTTTTCTTCTCACTTGTTTTCTCAAACACGTACAATTTGTTTTTCTTTTCCAGGAGAATTCCCGATAGACCAAAAGATCGTGCCAAGTGGGATGGAATCGCGGATGTGGTGTCTGCGCTGTCAATTCCTGTCATAGCTAATGGGGATGTTTTCGAGCCTCCGGACATCCCAAGGATAAAAGCTGCCACTGGTACACTCTTTTTCTTCTGTGTTGTACGTTTACATCCTTTGGCTTTGCGACAGGTGCTTCATCTGTTATGGTGGCACGAGGAGCTTTGTGGAATGCCTCCATTTTCAGACCCGAGGGGAAGCTGGACTGGGAAGAAGTGAAGAGGGAATACTTGAGACAGGCAGGCTAAATGAATGTATGATGGCAACTCTGACAGTGGTTCTATCTGGCAGTGCATCGTGTGGGAGAATGATATCAAGTTCACAAAGTACACAGTAAACAACATGATCATTCGCAATTCCAGCCTCGAGTCTCCCGAAGGGAGAGCTGTGCACAAGTGTCAAAGTTTGCTTCACCTTGCGTAAGTTTAAACGTTACTAGAAAGCTTTTCCTGATTTTCTCATCTGGTTTTAGCGAGGTCTACGGTCTCGAGGATTTTCACCACAATATTTCCCAGGGGCGCTATAACACATTGTAATTGCCTTCCTCACAGTTTGTTCCGGCGACTTGTACACAGGTAAATGTGTTTCGTTTTCAACATGTGAAGTGTTTGCTAACCAGCCTGTTCATGAACAGAGCGGAATTTTTCAGCGAAGGCAAAGATCAAAAACTTTGTTCTTTTGGCCCGGTCCTACCCGGTCCATACGGAAGCACTTTAGAAAATCTTTAAAATCCAGCCACTGAGCATTCTTCCCTCTTGTCAGCAATGCTGCACTACACTACGTGCTTTGAGCTGCAGCAATGCAGAAACAGAACAGTCCATTCGGCCCTCGAGGTACGGTTTTAGTCAATCTCTCTTAAATCATCTTTGCTTCTCCTTTGGCGAACAGGATCTTAACAAACAGTGTCGGTGTGGTTGAATGCTCTGGAGGGGCTCTGGCAGCGTACTCCACATCTAGAATCACTGTCCACCAGAGTGACGCGATGTGAAGCACAGAGCAAAGGAAGGTTCTTACTAGTAAAACATTGTGGCTCCTTTGCGGTTTCTCCATTTTCAGATTAGACATCGCTGTATGCGAGCTGTGTTTTGTAGGCACGGGGCGTGTGAAGAGATTTTCGTTATGTACGGAAATAGCAGCAGTGAAAATCTAAGGAGTTGAGTTTGAAACTTCAGCTAACTTGACAAGACAAAACAGCAACTTACGAGATCAACATCACTCGGTAACTAACAGTTTTTTTTTTTGCTTTCTTTCTTTTTTCAGTTTCTTTTTTGGCTTTCTCCAAACATTTATGAGCATGCACACAAACAGCTCTGGCTCTTTTGAGTAAAAATGGTGGTGGTGACACACAACACAACAGTGACTTGTTTGAACAAGAATAGTGGTAACATTCAGATATAATGTTGGTTTCAGTGTGAGGAGTTCCATGGAGGGTGGATTCAGGCCAGAAGTCGAAGGTGTGTAGGTGGTTGCTCCCCAAACAAACAAAGAGGACCCACAGATCTGTTAAGGTTGTCCCACCACCTTTTAGTTGAAGATGAAAGTGTCAAATAATTTACAGTACCATCATAAACTAGAAACAAAATCAGAACACTCACTGAGAAATTTTCTGGGCCAGATTTTCAATCTTCTTCTGAGGAGACCATGATCTGAGCAACAAACTTTGCAACATGTCAACATGGTCCCATCGATTGAATTTGATGAGCATTTCCAACACAGTTTCCAGACTAAGAGCCTTTTCGATGTTGGGCGAGTTTTTTAGTTCGGGTGCCGGGTTGCTGTCATTTTTGGTTGGCAAGAAGAAATTATATGGCCTCCACCAGAACATTTTATAGAAAATAAGCTACAAAATCTTTTACAATTTTTATTTTTTTCCACAGAGATTCGATCCAATCTCTATTCTCATAACCGAAACTAAAGGAAAACTTTTACCTCAAATCTAAGAAAACCATTCAAACGGGGAGAGTTAAAAATCCCCTTTTTTTTCCTTTTATCATTACCTTTTTCTTCTCCCTGTTTCTGCCATGGCCATTTATAAAGCCATGGAGTGTATGCCACCGACTTGAGCAGCATCCAGTGATCAAAATCTCTGTTCTTCCTTTGCAATTCTAGCAAAGGATATCTTTGTCCTCTTCGTGTGGTTCTTGCTAGAAATCCCGCAAAGATGAAGGCACTGATTCTTGTGGGAGGATTTGGGACTCGCCTCCGTCCACTCACGCTCAGCCTCCCAAAGCCACTCGTGGACTTCGCAAACAAGCCAATGATCCTCCACCAGGTAAGCAACCAAATCTCTCCCAAAAGTTTGGCTCAAGAACTAAGGATTCGTGCATGCGTAGATTGAAGCTCTCAAGGAGGCTGGAGTGGACGAAGTTGTTCTTGCCATCAACTACCAGCCAGAGGTATAGCATTCGCTCTGGATTCACAGCCACAAACCTCACAAATCTCTTTCTTCCAGGTGATGATGAGATTTCTCAAGGATTTCGAGGCCAAGCTGGGCATCAAGATCACTTGCTCCCAAGAGCGAGAGCCCATGGGGACCGCCGGCCCCCTGGCGCTGGCCCGAGACAAATTGGTGGATGGATCTGGCGAGCCATTCTTCGTGCTCAACAGCGACGTGATCAGCGAGTATCCGCTCAAACAGATGATTGCCTTCCACAAGAGCCACGGAAAGGAAGCCACTATCATGGTCACAAAGGTATGATTCGATTGCTCCAGGAAACTTGGAAAAACCTATCCTATAACTTCCGTGATTTTCGTGTTCTTAGGTGGAAGAACCATCCAAGTATGGAGTGGTGGTCATGGACGATGCCACGGGAGCCGTACAGAGATTCGTGGAGAAGCCTCAAATCTTCGTGGGCAACAAGATCAACGCTGGAATCTATCTCCTCAGCCCGCAAACGGTCGACCGGATCGAGCTCCGGCCAACTTCCATTGAGAAGGAGATCTTCCCTGCCATCGCCGCGGAGAAGCAGCTCTTCGCGATGGTTCTCCCGGGATTCTGGATGGACATTGGCCAGCCCAAGGACTACATCACGGGGTTGCGCTTGTACCTCGAGTCTATCCGCCGCAAATCGCCCGAGAAGCTCTCTATCGGCGCTCACGTTGTTGGAAACGTGATGATCGACCCCTCGGCGCGGATTGGGTCGGGGTGCTTGATCGGGCCCGACGTAGCAGTAGGACCGGATTGCGTGATCGAGGAGGGCGTGAGATTGTCTCGGTGCACGGTGATGCGAGGCGCCCAGATCCGGAAGCACTCGTGCGTGTCCGGGAGTATCATCGGGTGGCACTCGAAGCTCGGGCAGTGGACGAGGATTGAGAACATGACCGTGTTGGGCGAGGATGTCCAGGTGAAAGACGAGCTCTACAGCAATGGAGGGGTGGTGTTGCCACACAAGGAGATCAAAACCAGCATTCTCAAGCCCGAGATTGTCATGTAGGATTTGACGAAGAACACACACCGGATGATTTTTTAGAAGATTGGTATGTATCGTGGAAAGATGGTAACTTACGTAGCATGTATCTGTGTGTAGGGGGATTTCATGTGACGAACTAACGAATAAACAATGGTTTAGATGGTTCAGAGCTGACAATGAGAGATTGGAATTAATTATTGGGCAAGACATTTTGGTTGGTGCAAACCATCAAAAACATGCTTTGTAGCGGTCTTTGACAGCTCAACCATCTGCTGACACGGTATCTTCACTCAAGAAATAAATGGAAGAAATAGCGAGAAAATGTTTATAAACCTAAAAAGGATTTGAGCAAAGAATAAAAGTTTATAATGAATCCCTGGCTTGAATTTATAGAATCAATGGCCCGGCTTATGGCTTCCTCCATAAAAGAAGCATTGGATTAGCCAGGAGTGGAAATCCACTATTTTCTACTATTAAATTGGTGTGGTTAGCAATATATTTACAGAAAAATTACTCCATCCATCACATCCCAATAGAACTAAATTTCCATCTTTTTGGAGTGTTTCTTTCTCAAACACTAAATTGCAATTATACTCCAGAACTAGCTGGTAAAGGCCATTTGAAGAAATTAAATGACCCCCTTCATTTATAACTGATTGAAGTGTCTTTATATCTCTGCTAGTCATGGATGAATGATATACATTACAATCATTTGGAATAGCTGGAACAGTTTCTCTAGCGTCATTGTACAAAAGATCATTTTGAGAATTTTTGTCATTTGTAGTTAATATTTTGTATGGTAAGCTGAATAATCAATCTGTATATTACATGCTGAAACCTATACAAAACCATAGTTCTATAGTCAAAACTCTTGCATAGTCCTTCTAGCAAAAGCTTATTTGCAAAGGTGATGGACACTACAACATCCACTAGTTTCTCTTTTACACATACCTGAACAAATTTTGGACTGCCCCATTAGCTTGGAGGGATTTAATCTCTGTGAAGTTTAGAATCGTATTCTCCACATTTGCTGTCAGCTAACAATTGGTCATGGTTTCTTAAAGATCTTATATGCCTAGTGTGGTCACTCCGCACAAATTGGTGATTGTGCATTTTAAAGACAGGAATGCCTTCTGTAAGTAGGCACGCCTCTTGACACAGGGCATGTATGTATGCCCATGCACAATTGTCATCCCACGAACTTCTAGAAGTAGTGGCAGATTTGAATGCTTTAGATTGCGATGTCTCACTTTTTTGTTCTTCCTGCTCACTTAACTGAATATGGAACACATCTTATAGGATATTAATTCCATTGGCTCCAAACTTTTATTGCTATTTCAATAGAAATTGTTAATCAAATATTATTCTCAATAGTAGGACTTATCTTTTTTGGACTGTTTAATTGTAACACTACGGCAATACTTTACTAGAAGTCTAGAAGTAATAAATAAAACATTAATTTCCTGATAAGCATCATTTTCTTTTGAGTGCATATACTTCTCTATTTTTCAGCAAGGAGAATAAATAGAGGAACTTGCTACATACGCTTGGTTTGCTTGTGTACTTTAAAGAATATTATAACATATACTTTTTTTACTTTTTTTTAACAGAATGTACAAGAAAACCGGATAAAGATGTTAATAATATAATAAAATATTTAATTTCTATGTCTCACATGTTCAGTTGCAACTTAAAAAATAACCTATGTAATCAAACTTGACATTCAAGTAGAAGGATTTTATTATTATCCATATTAATGAGGTCATTAACACTTCCTTTTTTTTAAAAAAAATGAAATAGTTTTCATGGAGCATCAAAAAGTCATCATGGTCATATTTTATTACTTATGAGATCACAGCTCTTAGCATCATATGAGGATTACAATTTCACTTCATTCAAATTGAATTGAACTCTAGGGTATTCTACCATATCATTTTGCTTGAGTCAAGGACTAGCCATTTGAGATTCTTATTTGGAAAAGAGTTGTCAATTATCCTAAATATTTAATAAAATTTCATAAAGATAATAGAAATAACACAAAGTCATATATATTTTACTAATATTGTGGCAACATTAGCATGAACTTATATTTAAACATGATCTTGATGAAAAATTAATATATTAATTAAAATCACTCATCCTCCAAAACATCATAGTTGTCATTGCTAATCATAAGTTTAATTGAAAAAAAATAATAAGAGGGATTAAATGAGTAGTTTATGTGTTCTTATTTTAATCACAAAATTAAATTGATTTTAACTAAAGCAAACTGTTGGCAGTGAATATGCCTAGAATATTCTTGAATATTCTGCATCTATTATTATTTATTTAGATTAATCTTGTATTATAATTTATAAATATGTTTATAATTCATAAAAACTTTTAAACACATGATTTAGAGGATATCTAGCTAAAATTTCTTTTAACTAAGATTAGTAATATTAATTTATATTAATACTCTAGATAAATTGCTGTGCATTGCATGTAGCAATACTTAGTTTGCTTAATAGTAGTTTTGTGACCATTTTGTGATCTCTTGTTGCACATGAAGAGGTTCATTGAAAAGAAAAAATAAAAATAGATAAGTCACTTGCATGATAGTGCATCAACTTTTTTTCTATATAGGGTGGGGTTTAATGAATGTTATAAAGAGTTTGTAATGTAATATGAGCCACGTCACTCTTTAGTGCTACAATAGATCCCCTCATTGTGCATTTTGAGGATAAAGGTAACCAACCCACAACTCATTCCATTCCTTTTCTTTCTAATCCCTCAAGTTGGATCTCCTCAGGAATTAGTAGTTAGTAATAAAAGAAAACTATGTTCTTACTATGCTCCTATTTTATTCCTCTCCTAGTGGACCTTGTGACTATGGAAATCATCTGAGTGTCAGCATGCCCCTCTTCGCATTTGCAGCACTTGTAATGAGGTTTGCAATATGGGCAATAGATAATCCCTTCATCTGTCATTGAACCTTAAGCCTCTCGTTTAGGGTCACTGATAGCAATGGCTGCAAGGTCACCTTGTGCACCACCATACCCATAACACAAATCAAAATAGAGATCCAAGGCACAAGGCTACCAAGGATGGGAAGACAACTGGTTCAGTACCAATAGAAGACAACAGCCACAACAAGCACCTCAAATAGGGAGCCAGATCCAGGCACGACCATGCTAGACACCCACAGCATGTCAAAGGAATATACCACACTAGCCAGATTATAGAACCCACATAAGTAGACCAAAAGACAGAGGGTAAACATGAAATCAACCATTCATCTAGTGGTGAGAACTATGGGAAAGCAAACCAACACTCATTGTGTCTAAGGTATGCCATGTGCTTATACCTTCTGCTTGAGCTACACTCAGTTGAGGAATGTAGATGAGGTGATCTTCAACAAACACTGTGTTGTTGTCAATGACAGAAACCCTATCCACTTCAAGGGCATTGTGAAGCCCATACCTCTCTAACTGCTTGTAAATCTTCTCTACCAACAGCCCTGCTAGAGGAATTCACACCTTGATCACCTCTGTGCCATCATTGGCTTGCACAATCATTACCATCGGCGCCATAAACACATCTATATCCTAGAAAGTGAACCCTAGAATGGTGCTTCTAATTATGATAATTATTATTATGATTCATTGCTACTCTATCTTTTGCATTCCTGCATTTATTGATACCATCATCAAATCATTCTGTTATTGTATCACAACGTTGTTAGAAAGGTAAGGAAATAGTGAAATGTAAATCTATAAATCTATAAATCTATAAATCTATAGTTTATTTTGAAGTTACAAATTTATCCCTACTAATAATAGAATAAGTTAATGTTCATTTTATTTTGGATTTGATGCATTAATATATATATATTTTTAATGACATTTATCGCTTGTTGAAGCTTTGAAACTTCGATGGAGTTTTTTAGGGTATTAGCTACTATGATACAGTTAAAATTCTCAATTTTATTTTTGAAGCATAATACAATACTTCCAAACTTGAAGTTCAAGTTAATAATCACTTAGAAGACTATAGCAATGTGTTAGCAAAGTAGGACTATCATTAAAAATTGAAAACATTAGAGTTTTTTATAAGCATAAATCAAATCCCTTTACACTGTGTGTGCATATTACACTCTTTAAACTTAGGAAGATGAATGGTCTCTAGGGTTGGAGGCTGTCTCTCAACACAGTTAAAAAATGTAGCCTTTCAATGTCTCCACTACTGCATTGATCTTGTGGTGCTACATTTGCTTCAGCCTTCCCAATAAACAATGACCAAGCTTCAAATGTTATAGGGAAAGTCGACATCATTTCAACAAAAGCTCCATCATAGAATTTAATTAAAAAAGGTTGGGAAGGCTATCTCCCACCAATCCAATCTACATGGCCTACACAAGTTGTCCCCATATCTCTAATGGTAGTGCTTGCAACTCTTAGTACCAACTTTCCCACCTCAAAAGATATTCCCCCTGCAGATCCTTATGCAGTGTTTTACACACCCTTTGCTGGTTGACACCCCTTTGCATTTGTAGTTTATTTCTTGCAGCATCTACCACCCCATGCTTTCTATGGTTGGATTTTCCCTAAATTACTTATTAATCCAATTGATCCAATAAAGGTTATAATTATAAGCATGTTTATAATTTATAAACACAAGATTCTTATTGCATATCAACCATTAGATGATAAAATAAAAAAGAATATACTAGAAAGGGTTTAAGGAAGTTTATAAATTATAATCATGTTTATAATTATAAATACAAAATTAACTTAAATGAATAACAACTGTTAGATGGTAAAAAATCCTAGAATATCCAAGCTTATTCTAGGTATATCCACTACCAATAGGTTTGCTTAAGCAAACCACAAAATTAAGAATCTAGGTATCTGAAGAGACTAGAGAGCTACTCTTGGAACCTACAATAGTGCCAGTTCAAGGAGTACTATGGAGCAATGGTAGGTAAGCAAGTACAACTTTACTTTCAAGAATGATAGAACTTTTAAATTACATACTGACTTTGGTGTTAACAAGTGTAAAAAAGGATTTCTAGCATGGAAGAGAAGCCTTTGTGAACCACCCAATGTTTGCTAGGCAATTTCTAGTAGAAAATTGTAAACACTTGCAAGTTTGGTGACAATGTCAATGTTGGAGAGGAGAGTTGGAAGATATTTATT